CCTATACAACACATCATGAGGGGCAGAGTTTTACTGTGTGTGTGCTGCAACTTGCATATATATATTTATTGCACTTGACGCACACATACGCATGGCATAATTTCCACTGAGGACAGGGGGGACATGTCCCCCCTACTTTTCGAAATCCTGTTTCGCCCACTTTACAAATATGTTTATTATTTTTTTTTAATGCAAGCCATCATCGCCACGGAGGAGCACACAGCCTATGTGAGCGAGCGAGCACACCTTTATCTATTTACTATAGTTGTAAAAAATAAAGTAAGAAATCATTCCAATGTGTACTATAGGACAGTAACAAAACAAAAAAACTGTTTAAAAGGAGAGTGATTAGTAAAATATGCATAAATAAAAAGAAAGAAAATAATTAAATTCAATACATTTTCTTTTAGTAAACACTGAAAACGGGTCCCACAGACCCAAAAAGCACACAAAGGTTAAAGGTAAGCAGATAATAATGTTAAAATGTGCTAAATACATACACTGCAAAAAACAAAAAAAAGAGGAGTAAAAGTGGCTCACTACTTGTTTTATTTTTTGAAAGTAGCTCTCATCCTAACAAAGGTTGGAGACCCCTGCATTAGAGCGTAAAAACTGTAACTATAAGTATCTGAAATAAATATGTGAACTGAAACAAATACCAATAACTGTATTGCATTGTTTTCTTATGCGCAATTACTTCATACTGTTTTTGTCTTTTTCGTCCTGCATTTATTGGGCCCCCCTCAGAAAATAACTGGCCCCAGCCTGGCCCCCCCAAGTCAAATTGGTCTAGAACCGCCACTGGCAATGTGCAAAACAGCAGTATCCAACAGTCTCTCATCCTTGGATATTACATGTCACTGCATGCATGCACGGAGCACCCGTAGCGCGGAGATCATCATATCATTCTGTCTTGTATTACTTAACAAAAAAACAACAACAAAAATGGCTCGTTCGCGGGCGCGAGCCGGCTCCCGTCGTTCACTTAAAAGACCGACCGACACATCACTACTAATTTGCATGCATGCGAGTGACCAAAACAGCCTTGCTTTATCTGCCAAACATCGTAACTGTATATGATCCTTTCAGGGATGCACATAAATGTTAGTAAAGATATTTGTTTAATGTCCACAATGCACTCATAATCTTGATTTGTATGAGTCATAGCACTCCAGTTTAAGATACCGGCTGTCTTTATCATTAAGATATAATGATCGAGCATGTGAAAGTCCTGGCAACCAATGCAGACATTGTTGTTTTGTGTGCCTTCTCATTCACACAGATATTCCACTGTGGTTTTTATGTACATGTTCAGAGCCAGAAATTCAACATGTTATCCTAAATATACTCCCAAACAGCACACCATTTCCACAGGGATTTAAAGTGACAGCTTTTCAACGAGAGCTTCAACTCGCTATGTTTTCCTGCCTCTTCACTTAATGTTGTGTTTTTTTCAGTATTAAACATTCAGTAGTATTATTATACCACATTGTACCTATTTATTTCCTCTACCAAAGAGGGGGAAAAGAGGAATAGCAGGTTTACTGAATAAATGTCTCAAGCAGCAATTTTCTAGATAGATAGATGGATAAGACTTAGCTTTCGGCTTACACATTAAGATATTATCAGTCTCCAACAGATACAAGTTGTATAGGAGGAGCCGTTTCACTGAGGAACACGGCGGGTGTCTCAGGTGTTGAATGGGTGTCTATAGCAACCAGAGGGTCAGTGGTTCAATCCCAAGCCCATGGCTATTGAAGTCGCTTTTGATAAAAGCAACAACTAAATGAAATGTAATGTAATTTGTGTGAACTGATGCACTCCATGATTTACTTTCAATAAGCTTCTTAATACATAAAATACGTAACACAGGAAAATGTGTGTGCATTTGTGTGTGTGTGTGTGTGTGTGTGTGTGTGTGCACACTGTATCTATCCCATTAAGGCCAAATGTGTGCCGAGGAGATTAAACTGGCAGGACTCCCAGTCTAACCAATAGCATATCTCTGTTAAACGGGCCACTGGAGGCTACTTAAGCACAGGAAACAAGAAAACCAACAGATTGTTATTGTACTGTCCTGATCATTACACATAAAAGACTATCTACAATTTAATAAAGTGCACCAAAGGAATACTTGCACACCTGAGATCTGCCGGCTGAGGCCCATTGATTTAGGTTCCAGATCCAAGAACACAAACGAAAAGTATGATTATTATTTGTGAGGGAAAAACTCAGGGGATGTGTAGATCGCTGTAGTAAGGGATTTGGAGGGTGACCGCAGATTCCAGGGAGGAAGGTGGGGGGGGAAGTCAGAGATTCCCATTACCTTTGGTCCCATTTATACTGTGTTTGAGCTATACTTTGCAGTTTCCCTTTCCATTGTTGTTCATGTAAACTCACTGTATCTACACAATAATAAAAGGGCCGCAATAGGAGAGAGCACAGCAGTTAGTACATCCGACACACCTATGTCCCAAAGCACACAAAAGCTACTCTTTCAAATCCTCTATGTATATGTATCTCAATTTATTAATTATTTAAACTCGGCTGAAATGTCCAACAGTGTTTAAACTTGGAATGAATAAAAAATATCATATTGTTTTGATATTGTTTCTTGTCAAATGCTGTATTATCGGGTGGTATTTTTTTCATCAAGGATGACTTTAACTGCCTGGTGGAAAACTGGTCCGAAGTGGGTGTAATGGTTTTATTTCTCTCGGGCTCTAGTTCCCTGTTCAGTGTCTTGTACATGAATTAACTTGTCGAGTTTAGGCAGCATGGCATCCTCTCAGCTGTAACAAACTCCTCTCACAGTGAATAAGGCGTCAGTTTGTCTGCAGTGACCGATTTGAGCCCTGTGTGACAGTCAGCTGACGCCAGCAGAAAAGAAAAGAACATACTGCCTCATTTGGAAAGCAAACAAAATAATGTTGTTATCATTTTGACGTCGGAAGGATTGCAAATAGATATTGTTTGCAGAAAAGTGCTGTAGCACATACAGTACAGCTGACTGGCTGCAAACACCTGCCACTGTTAAATAATGATTTGGTTAATGATCGACTGCAGGGTCACTTACAAGCAATAGGCTCTCTTTTATTTGCTGGAAGGAACAGTAGGATGGAATGGCTCCCTCTTTCATAGCAACAAACAAAGGATTTTTACAAATTATTTCCTCCTATTTTCTTCTAACTGTGTTAAACTACACATCGATGTACTTTCAAGCTATACAATAATGCAGAATCACTTAAGAATTTCTAACTAGTATATATTTGGGTAGAAAAATACAAAATGAGTGGTGAATATGCTTATATTATTACAAATGTTTACACTTTTGTGACTGGCATAACTATCAGGAACAACTCGTTTGGTTACTTTAGTCCAGGAAGAAAGAAGCAGCTGTTATTCACTAATACCTCTGCACCAGTCATAAAGCAACCAAACCCCAGCATGAAGCCTTGAATAACATCCAGCCAGGATGAACATCTATTCAATTGTTCTGGGTCATTTTCTAGACTGGGTCTGAAACATGATACACGCGTAAACATAAGAATGACATGTAAAGTCTTGTGTACTTCAATTGGCAGAGGGGGACTGTAACTTAAGCATGGTGACGATACTGGCAGGCACTGCTGGCATGCAAGTCATATGACAATGTTATTTCTATGTAGCATCACGCAACACTGCTAAGGAAAGGATCCCTCTTCGAGCTGCTTTAACTCAACTTAATAACTTGAGGTCAGTTGCAGACAAGCAGTAGAGTACAGTGCAGTATTTACCCAGTAATATTCCCAAATTGTTTATCTTTTTTCAATGGACATTTTTTAATAAAACCAGAATAACAGATCATACAACACTCTGAGACCCCTATACAAAAGTAAACCAAATACAAAGGAAAATAATGATGATTAATTGGCTCTCGTTTGCAATGGTCAAAGTAATGTTCCATGATGATCACTAAGTTGATGTAATTTGCTTCTTGGCTTTTCAAATTGAATACTTGTCTTACCCTTTCCAACAGTGTTCTTATCTCAGCACATGCCTCTGCATTCCCTTTCACTTTCACTTTAAGTTAAGCAGCCCTGGGAGTATCACCATCACTAAGGAAACCAGTTTATATGGCAAGCATTTCTTCAAAAAGGCTCCTCTCACAGGCTGAGAGTCAGAGTTTACTACAGGCCAAGTTGGCCCCTGCTCATGGGGTAACATTTCATAGCAGCTCTGTCAAAGTAAGAGGATGCTAAGGTCGGCTAAATTATTCATTTAGCTGTCAATGTTTTTTGTCAAAATTGCCAATGTTCTACAGTGGCATTGGGTAAATTATGTTTTGGAAATGCACAACATTAGTCTACACATTAGTCTATGTGAAGCATTGCTCGAGCAAAGGAGATGAAAATAAAGGCAGCCACAGCAGCACTGTTCGGCGCATGCGTCACAGGGGGGAAAGAAAAATAGACCAAAAAAAAGGTCGTCACATGACAGTTTTTCTTTTTTGTCCTTTGGAAATATGTGGAAACGTCCTTTTGTTGGTGGAATATCGAGACGGAACGGTGCATTCAGTCGCAGCTAAAACGCGTCAAGATTTCGAGGAAACAGCTGAATATTAAAGTTCCTGCTTTGAGTCTCCAACACATTCAGACGCATATCAGGACATAACGAGCATAAGACGCAGACAACAACACGGGTGTCCGAGGGCATTTTCAATTCACCAAACAAACATTCTTATTTACTGATAAATAAACTATTTATTTTATTGAGCATTCATTGGCCTTCGACGACAGAGTATGAAATGCTATGCTATAAATAATAACTAAAATGATGCAATAGACAGTGAGTAAGTTATTCCAGCCCCTCAACAATGAACACATGTCTTAATGAGAAACATTAATAAGAATGGATAACTTATCTTAAGAAGTGGTGTTATCGTGTAGCTAAATGGCTACCACTACTATTCCTGTTTTGTGTGTGAAAATATCAAAGAATGCTTAAAGCAGATTACTCACCACGGTTACCGGAGAAACCATGTTTTTCTTCGGCGGTGTCTGTGTCGATGACAAGGGTGTTAAATATAAAAAATCAGCTTTGGGTCCTCCACTTTCTGTTTTACTGCATGAGGGATGCCGATTGTTTTTGTCCTCGCTCCGGTAGGCGGCCCTACGTCCGGTAGGAGGTGATAGACAAGCCGAAACGTGGGCACGTCTTTCTCAGTTGACCAATAGGAGCAGAGAGATGTTGTGGAGGGGGAGGGCCAAAGCAAAAGGGGCGCCCTGATAGGAGGAGTCAGGCTGCTGTTTACATATCGGAGCAGATGGCCTTTATTTACATTTTACAGAGGAGCTTCTTGAAAGCCTTTCGATCTTATTATTGATTGGGACTGATAAAACGTTGTAAATGGGTCAGATGAGGCGTTAGAAATCAGATAAAAAAGCCTGGCAAACATCTATAAAAGATCGAAATGTTGCTCTAAAACAATATATTGGTTTCTGATTCCACTGATTGCATTGATTCAAATACAATGCTTTTAATAAATACAGTTTGTGTATATTCTGTCTGTTTCCTTTTAGTTAAAGCTCCCCAGTCAACTAATAAGACCGTTTCCCCATACAATATCATGAATATACGAGTGCTCTTAAATTGACATTACTAGTGGTATTACATAGATAGGTTTACGCTAAACTTAATTATATTGTGTAGCCTCAGTTAGTGTGTGTATTCATGTTACAGTATGACACAGAATTTAGCTTTGAATTCTGCATTTGTAATTGGATTTTATTTCATAAACATGTAGACTAGTTGAATTTAGTACAACTGAAACCATGGGACATTTTTACATTCAAATTAAATTAAGTAAAATATAACGTCAAAATGTATACTAAATTGGAAGCTGTACGTTTTTACATACTGACTAATATCATACAAAACACACAAACATAATTTATTTTTTTCTTTCTGTGGGTCACCAACTGGAGAAGTGGTCAAATGGAAAAACTCCCTATGCCTTGAAGGAAACCATTTCTGGTCCAAGAAATGACAATTTGAGTCAAATGTGCTTGTACTTTACTGGAGTATTTATTATTTACACTACTTAAGAAATCTAGATTCCACATTTCAGGGGGAGAAATGTAAGTTTCTTTTCAACTTAAATATCAACACTACAATTAAAAAAAAATGCAGCTTGTAAAATGTGATACAAAATGTATACCCAAACAAGGGTACAATACTACAAATTACAATAAGTATAGACGAGCTGCAATTTGTGTGTGGGTGCTACGATTATGCAATATGATTTATTAAATAATATTATTCTAAAAAACATTCTGCATGATTGTCTAGACTTTTGCTCAGGGAGGCCGATATTAAATCATGTTTATGCAACTTTGTAAAAATGCAGTTTTAAATGCAGGATCTTTACTTTATTGAGTAGCTTGCCCTACTCTTAGATTATGATAGGGTTACTTTTATTTCAGTAAGCTAAATCAGCCCTCTCCACTGGAAACTATAAAGTTAAAACGGTTTGGTATGGCTTTGTTAGTAATTGCCTTAGAATAATATAACAGTAGGCTATCATTCAGGGAAATGAAGAAGAATATCCACAATTGTAGCGACATCTTGTGGCTCTACGAGTGTCTAAATTATTTTTGGCCGGACATTACGTAAAGATATTATATTAAATCATGTTTATGCAACTTTGTAAAAATGCAGTTTTAAATGCAGGATCTTTACTTTATTGAGTAGCTTGCCCTACTCTTAGATTATGATAGGGTTACTTTTATTTCAGTAAGCTAAATCAGCCCTGTCCACTGGAAACTATAAAGTTAAAACGGTTTGGTATGGCTTTGTTAGTAATTGCCTTAGAATAATATAACAGTATCATTCAGGGAAATAAAGAAGAATATCCACAATTGTAGCGACATCTTGTGGCTCTACGAGTGTCTAACTTATTTTTGGCCGGACATTACGTAAAGAAACCATAGGGGGAAAGCGGAAGTGAAACTACAGTAAATGTGAAATCAAACCATGGATGTATAATAAGAACAAGAGTCAAACATCCTTGGCTTTAGATATATCAGACATAGGCATTTAGTGATAGAGGCCAATCTTGTTAAATCATTTGTCTGTAATTACATTTACTTTTGCGTGTGATCCTGTAAATATAATAATTTTAAATATGACCCTTTTGTCAAAATATTTTTCAGAACCATTTTTGTTAATCGTTCAAGTGTCAAAACTATGTTTAATATATTGTACCTAGCCTACTTTGTCTAATCAAACAAATAAAATCAATTCCACTTATCGATGAAAGTGATTTTCCGACCTTACTAACCTTTGTTTTCTCTCAAGACAGATATCCCCTCTACGCGTGCATTTACACCAAAGCCCTATACGACATAATTGGGCAACTATGTTACAACTCTCGAGTACAATTTATTGTGTGTACTGATTTCACACATGCCTACAAATAATAAAAAATGTAAATAACTCAATTCCACTTAGGCCAGTTAATGTAAACTTGCGTTGTATTGCATTTGTCCAAATGATTTTTACGCTATCAACAACCAGTCGCTTTTTACACATTTAACGACAACATTTGTCAAACAAAAATATGTTTTGAATTAAAAAAAATGAAGCGTTTGTTTTATTCTGATTTGCAACTATCAAATCCCAGGACTGAAAACATAATGGACTTCATTGTAACTACTCACTCTTTGTATCTAACAAAGACGGAAACGCGCAGGAGGGACTCCTCTCACTTCCTTAGAGTCATCTTTGGACCTTTAATTCTTCTGTCTTTCACACCGTTAGTCTCTACCTACCAACACCCGTGGTAACATTATGGCTGAGTTTTTAGTGTTTTTCTATCTTTAGGCTTTATTCGTATGAACATTTTTGATGGATTTTGCTGGGTTGTATCAGTTTAAAAGTTCGTATTTTCAGGCTTCTTGGTTTGCTAACGTTAGTTTACGTCAGTAAACGTATGGTTAGCTAACGCTAACTTCGCTAGCTTAATCGAATGCAGTAAAATATCTCTAACGGTTTGATATACAGTATTTATTCCCACGGAGTCTGTTTGAAATAGTGTTATCCTTATAGCTATTTGGGTGTCGTTTGGTAACGCTGAATCTCGAGCGAGTTTACCTGGGTTGGAAGCTAAACGCTAGCGTTAGCTTTAGCAATCAACACTCCTGGTTGATCCCTCGATTCGTTTCTGACAGCCTGCTTCATCACTATCAGTCTAAAAGATGGACTTTGATAATATATTAGACCTCGCCTCTCAGAACCAGGGCCTCAGCAGTGTCCAGGTAGGTCAAATGTCTTTACTCATTCCTATCAGTAAACTTGTGTTTTGTGGCAAATCTTCTGAGCACACAAATGCCAGCTCATCTGTCAGAGAGGATTTGATAATGTAGCTAGCTGCTAACTTCCACCCTCGTGAGCCTGCTTGCTAGGCAGATGTTTACTTAAACCTGTAAGCTTGTCAAGTTTTTATATTTCCAATCTAAAGTTATATTTAGACCAACATATGTGGGTAATTACATCGTATTTCCCTATAACTAAGACCTCTAAACGATTCAAATAGTAAAGAGACGTGTCACTACTTTATATTCAATATGCTGTACATGTTCATGTATTTTGTGTCCTTCTTTGAGCAGAAAAGATACAGTCTACAAACTGGACCACCGAAAAAAGTCCCACGGTCGAGAGGTGTAGATCCTAGTGCTGTGCAGGCACTTTTGAAGAAGCAAACCATTGATCACAAAAAGAAAGGTAACGCTAAGTTAACGTTATAACAGTGATTTTATAGCCATTACAGAATACATTCTTCATTGATGTTTTTTTGTGTTCATCCAGAAATTCAAATGAAGAAAAAGAAGGATGAACTACTACAGAAGAGGGTTGAAATGAAGTCGGACCGTAAAGCCCGGGCCATGGCTTCCAGAACCAAAGACAATTTCAGAGGCTACAATGGCGTCCCAGTTGTAGAATTGCCTAAGAAGAGGAGAACAAAACAAGAAATGCAGGAAGAAAGAGCAATGAATGGCGAAGGATTTACGAACAACTCCATTGACCCAGAGGATGAGGATAATTATGAGTATGAGCCTTCAGATTCAGAGTCGGAGCAGGAGCCAGAACCACGGAGACCTGCAAAAACCCCTGGATTTAGTGCTAGTAGCAAGAGCAGTAGTAGTAGTAGCAAGCAATCCTCTAAAAAGCCTGCTCCACCTCCCTTGAACTTTGCAGAGTTACTCAAATTGGCAGAGAAGAAGCAGTTTGAGCCAGTTGAGGTAAAAAAGGTAGTGAAAAAAGAAGATAGGCTCCGAACAGCTGAAGAGATAAGGGAGCGGGAGCTGGAGCGCAAGGTTAAGAAAATGGACAGAGACTCAAAGACGGAGAGAGAAAGAGACAGAGACAGCAGGTCTCAATCTAGCTCTAGTTCAATGAGGAAAAACACTTCTGAGAAGGAGCAGAAGAATGGTAAACCCCAAAATAACTCCTCAGTAAAGCCAAGTTTGCCCAGTGGCTCAGCGAAGAAATTGCATCCAACATCTTCTAGTGATAAAGGCCACTCTTCTTCTAGGCCCTCTGTTAATGACAGAGACAGAGATCGATCCAAGATGTCTAACAGTGACAGAGATCGATCCAAGATGTCTAACAGTGATAGAGACCGATCCAAGGCAGCCTCATCAAGTTCTTCTGGTGCCACAAACAGTAAAGTTCCTTCAAAGGGCTCATCGTCTCAGGTTTCAGCCAAACAAGGGGGGCTCAAGCCCTCATCCAGCCACAAATCAAGTGCCTCAAGTGACCTTATCCCCAAAAAAGAAAGCTCATCAAGACCCTCAGGCATTCCTGGGACCAGGGCTCCTGGTCCATCTACATCAGGCCAAAGATCTCAACAGGGGAGCTCCCAACAGAACAGGCCCAGTCAGGGTGTGAAGCAAGGACCTTCAGCCGGAGGAAACAAGTCTGGAAAGGGAGAACCTCTGAGGCCTGGAACTAATTCTGCTGGAAAGTCAAGTGGTAATTCAGGGATGAGACCTTCTTCGGGGGGCCCTCCTAAGGCAGGGGGCCAGCCCCAGTCAAGGCCTGGAGGCACATTCCATGCAAAAGCTCTTGGTGTCCCACAGGCCAGGCCTGGTGGGAGTGGCCCAAATGGTCCCCCAAGAGGAGGTGGACCCCGACCGCCAGGGACGGGGCCTGCTCGGCCTGACAGTGGAGGACCAGTATCTGGACGGCCCTCGGGCAGCGTTGGATCTGGTCCTGGAAAATCCACGTGCACTGTGGTGTCCGAGACCATTTCATCCAAGAATTTTGGTGGGCCCAAACCAGGAGTCCCTCCTCAACCAGGCATGCAGCAGAGACCAGGCATGCAGCAGAGACCCGGCATGCAGCAGGGACCCGGGATGCAGCAGAGACCCGGGATGCAGCAGAGACCCGGGATGCAGCAGAGACCCGGCATGCAGCAGAAACCCGGCATGCAGCAGAGACCAGGGATGCAACAGGGACCCGGGATGCAACAGAGACCAGGCATGCAACAGAGACCCGGGATGAACAGACCACCAGGTAATAATCTGAGGGAAGATAATGGTGTTCAAGATTCAAGAGATTTCATTTGTCACGTGTCACACATGCGTAGTACAATGTGGATGCTTCAAACTTCCAAGCAGTGCAACATTTGTGTATAAGAAACTATCAATGCTAATTAAACAAAATGCAAGATTGAAAAAAATGGCAAAATAGTGAAAATATATCAAATTAGCCAAAAACTGGACTTGTCACTTAAGGAATACACAACAGTATAAAAATGTGCAGAGAAAAAGGTACTATCAAGGATAAAGATATTAACAGTAGTATTGCTGAAACTAAAGTTCCTTTTAGGTTACTGCAGGAATCATAATATGTAATTAAAGACAATGGTGGACTCTGGCAAAAGTGCTTGCTCAAATGTGTTAAAATCACAGCAGTGGTACAGGTTGGGTAAACACTGCACTTGACTTCTTGAGAACAGGCTTTTTTTTTATCAAAGTAAACCCCTTCTACCTGCCAGTCTATTCAAGCTCTGGTTAAGAGCAACATATCCATCTCCAGCCTGTTGTTGGGCACAGCTTTTAGTTTTAAGGAAATGGCTTGATACAATCAGAAAATAAAACCATCACTTCGCGCTCTGCGTACATACAAAATATTTCTATCGTCACTCATAATTTGAAATTATTGATTGTGCTCATGTTGATATCAACACAAATGTCCTTGTACTATATACACAATACAAATAAACCTTAAGCACGTAATACAGGGTGCGTACGGGTGCTGGAAATCCTTGAAAATGCATGAAATTGTACGAGGTGTTTTCAAGGTTTGAAAAGTGCTTGAATTTTGGGAATGGTGCTTGAATTTGGGATAAAGTGCTTGAAATTGTAAATGCTTTACTTTGCTTTTTAGATTAAAAGAAAATAAAGAAGTTTGAGCGCGCTTAATTCCTTCACTTTTACATAAAACAGCTCCGCTCCGGCCTTCCCGCGCAATGCGCGTGACCGGCAAGTGTTTTTGTTACGTGTGTGACCTGGGCATTCTGATGAGAGTGATATATGACAGTATGCCAGGAGGTTGCCGTTTCAACGAGCGTTGGCTAGCAGAAGACAAATACAAGCCATGGCTAAGACGAGGGTCAAGCGAAGCCCAAGAGTAGCCTCCTGCAAAGTGTGCAACAATAACGATGCGAGAGTCTGCGCTGACGAGCCACACACCACACGAAAGGTACGCCATCGTAGAGCGTTTTAGATTAGGCTATCGTTGCATGTAAAATACATGACACTTTTCTCTGTGCGCGGCAAAACAAGCTCGCCAAAATGGCTTCACTAGGCAGTATTTTAAGTGTCCGAAAATGACAATAAAATAGCGGTATGCAACGTGTGTGTGAAGCAGAAATCCTGCAGCTCCACCCGCTGTGACGGACCGGTGAGCGGAGCAGAACACACATTAAGAGTTAGACCTAACACACTTAGCTATTTTATCTACCTCTGGAACAAGTTAAACTAGTTATAAATATATTTATTCTTCACTGTCGGGTCGCTCATTACTGGATCAGTGAGCTGCAGGAGATACTGACGGGCTGTCAGGAGAGAGAGAGAGAGGGGGAGAGAGGAAAAGAGAGCGATATCGGTATCGGCCGATACTGATTCCGGCGATCGGCTCCAAAATTGGCGATCGGAGCATCCCTAATAATTGTATATGATATGTTTTATAATGATTGATCATGAAAGTGTTATCAAAGCTGGTAAAGTTGCAGCTAGTTTGAATGACTTTGTATACTACAGAGTAGCTTGTGAATTTACTCCAGGTGGAACTAAAGTCTGATTTAACACTTGATTATATTTCACATCATTCATCCACATCTGTAAAGTAACTAAAGGTATTGAATACATGTAGTGGAGTCAAAGTACACCATTTACCTCTGACTTGTGTTTACTGCCAACCTAAAAGTACCTCAAAAATAGTAATCAATAATATATTGAAAAGTTATTTGGCTGATTGTTTTATATTGGCTCAGCCAGGTTATATGGGATGCCCAGTCTACGTACAGATGGGTCACTCATTTTGAAATATTAAACTTAGTTTTCTTTTCTAACATTTTACATTTTTCATCCTCATATAGAATGCTATTATGAAACACACATTTGGTTGTTTATAGCATAAAGAACATCTGATTTCATGTGAGGTAGGGAAATAATCATTTGAGTTTAAGTATGTGTATATAAATATGTAATTTACAACAGCTGTAAGATGCTTGAAAAGCTTGAAAATGCACCTTGAAAATGCTTGAAAAGTGCTTGAATTTGACTTTGGAAAAGGTGTAAGAACCCTGGTAATAGCTCATAACACACATACCCAGTTAGCCATACACTACTACTATGAACATTGCAAAACAATGCATGTTTTCATTTACAATAACGATACCCTTATAGATGTCATTCTAACAAATGCAGCTCATAAGTATGTGTCTGTTGGTGTTTTTCCTAATGATATCAGCGACCATTGCACTATTGCTTGCGTTAAGAGCACTAATGGCACATTTCCACCATGGCGCGGAGCGCGGTTTAAGCGTGCCGTGTCGTGCCGTGCCCGTTTTTGGTTGCGCTTCCACTAGGCCTAGTTACGGCCCGGCCCGGCCCGGGGCCACTTTTTCACCTCTTTTCTGGCCCGACAAAATTGTGGTTCTATCGGGGCCAACAAACAGGGCTGAGTCGGGCTGAGTATGCTAAACTAGAGAGAGGATCGCTGGCAAGGGGGCTACAACTACAACAAGATGGACATATTTGACCGTGATTTAATTGTAATACACGTTTCAAAATGATGCCGAAGTAACAACATACTGATACCGGTTAGTAAAAACCATGAATTAATGCTTTGGCAAGTCTGCAGACAGACGGCAGGCGAAAAACCTTTTAAAATGCGTGTTTTCTAGATGGAGATTGGCTAAGCTAACGCAGTATATGCTCCGACCGTCCACACTCACAACAACGGCCTATACAGACATAAATAAAGCAGCGACTGTATTCACCATGACACAGGCAGTCTGTGGTGTGTACTTGTTTAACTTTTGTCGAGTTTCTGAACATATATAAGGAGCTGTGAGCTCTGAGTGCTAACAGCTAACGGCTGTTTTGTTTTTCTGGGGTTCTCATTGAAGATGACGTCACGGCTCCACCTACACTGCGTTACTATAGTAACTACCCCAGTTCCTAAACTGTAATGGAAACGCAGCATGAAGTGAGCCGGCCCTGTTAAGGCCCAACGCGGCCAAGCAGTACCGAGCGTGGCCGAGGCCGACCGTGTGGTGGAAATGCGCCATAAGTTGCCCAAAGCCAAGGGCCTTATTGTGCTCAGGAGCTGCTTCAAACACTTCTCTGAGCAGGCTTTCCTACACGATCTGGCGGAGGTTAAATGGCACTTCATAGCATTAATTCCATCTGTCGATGTTGCGGTCCAATTCTTTATTGATAACTTTTTATCGATTATTAATAGACATGCCCCCCTTAGAAAATTCAGAGTTAAGAATAGGAACACTCCATGGTTTACTAGAGAATTATCTGATTTCATTCATGATCGCAATAAGCAATGGTCTTTAGCTAGAAAGTCGGTACTACTTTACAATAAGACTACCCTTATAAAGGGTTTACGAATAGTTTGTAATTCATTTATTAATTAGGTTGTGAACACTTTATAAATCCTTAATAAGCTTTTATAAGACATGAGATAAACAGGGCAACTGTGACCGGTTGCTTGCCAAATAGTGAGCCCACATTTATCTGTACTGCTAAGCCTTATTAGAAATGGTAGTAACTCATTAATAAATGGGAATGTGTTTTACACTTTACAATAAGGCTCCCTTTTGGCAACTATAAATGTTAGTAACTCATAAATAAATGGTCATAAAGAGATGCCAAGAAACATCAAGATGGAAGGGGGGGAATCAACTCAGTGAACTACAGATACCAAGGATGATGGCTGATGAAGAAGACGAAGTAAGCTAGTGCCAATATAAGGCTTAGTCATCTTGCCAAATAGTGAGCCTGTATTGATGTATGAAAACTACGTTAGAACTGGTTTATAAATGGTTCTTAATGATAAATAAAGTGTTTACAACCTAATTAATAACCTAATTATAAACCCTTTATGAATCCTTTATAAGGGTAGTCTTATTGTAAAGTGGTACCAGAAAGTCGAACACTAGTGATGACTGGCTTCTTTTTCGTGTCCTCAGAAATAAATGTTCAGCCCTTATTAAAAAAGCTAAAGCTGATTACTATCTGAGCTTAACCACTGATTGTTTTAATGACCATTCTAAGTTCTGGAAAACAATTAAATCACTTCAGAACAAGAAGGTTTCTAGTTTCCCTCAAAAACTGAAGGTCAGTGATTCTTTTATTTCAGATACAAATGATATGTTTAATGCTCACTTCAAAAAGGCTGGTCACATTTTTGATGAGCAAAGTCATGACTCTGCTTGGTCGTACTCACAGCCCTAGTCAAGAGATGAACTCCCCTGTTTTTGATTTCGCTTCTTTCTCGGTCTCTGAAGTCTTACACGGTTTGCACTCAATTGATCCTAAAAAGTCTGCCGGGCCTGACGGCCTAGATCCTTTCTTTTTAAAAATTGCAGCTCAGATTATAGCTCAACCAGTTACTGATATTTGTAATCTCTCTCTGTCTACTCACACACTGCCAGCTGTGTGGAAGCAAGCTCTTGTATCGCCGCTCTTAAAAGCTGGTGATCCCACTGATTTGAATAACTATCGACCCATCTCAAATCTTTCTGTGTTATCAAAGATTCTTGAGTCCCTAGTTTCTACTCAGCTAAAACTTTTTTTAAATTCACACAACACCCTATGCAATCTGGATTCAGATCAAAGCACAGTACTGTGACTGCCAGTCTGAAAGTCTTAGACGATATTAAGGCTGCTTTGGATAAAAAATGTGTTTGTGTTGCATTGTTTATTGACCTAGCCAAAGCATTTGACACTGTAGATCACACATCACATTCTGTCTAATGTTATGTTGATGTGTCGTTTAGGTCATAACGCCATTTGCTGGTTTCAAAGTTATCTAACCGACCGTACTCAATGTGTCAGGTTGGGTAGTACTGTCTCTGACCCTATCACCTTGGAGAAGGGAGTTCCACAGGGCTCTATTTTGGGGCCCTTGCTCTTTTTATTATATGTAAACAATATTTGTAATCGGATGCAATTTTCTACCTATCATATGTATGCTGATGACACTATTGTATACTCATGTGCTCCTTCTCTGGATATGGCCATTTCCAATTTAAAAACTGATTTTATCACGCTACAGCATACGCTTATTGATTCGAAACTGCTATTGAACAGTAAGAAAACCAAAGCAATGCTCTTTGCTCCCAAGTCAGCGTCCTCTTGTCTTTCCATTGACACCCTTGATGGCGTCTCCGTTGAGTTTGTCCGTTGAGCCACTCTTGGCTTCCTTTATAGACTGGAGGGAGGCGTGTGGTGCAGTGGGTTGTCCGTTGGTGTTCGGTTCAGGGAGTCACAGGTTCAAACCCCACTGCAGTCAGCATGTCGTTGTGTCCCTGGGCAAGACACTTCACCCCAAATTGCTCCTGTGGGGATTGCCCACAGTATTGAGTATGTGAGTCGCTTTGGATAAAAGCGTCTAACAAGTAACATGTAATGTAATGTAATGTAATAGACTTAAATGTTGTTTTTCAACTTCTTCCCGTAAAAGGTTGGTCTCGGGCTTATTCCTGTCCCAGCTTGACTACGGTGATACAATCTATAGATTTGCCTGTCCCACTGTTTTGGCCAAACTTGACCCACTCTACCATGCTGCACTGCGATATATATCAAATGCACCCTATAGGACTCATCATTGCAAACTGTATAGCCTAAATGGATGGTCGTCACTTAGTATGCGTAGGATGCAGCATTGGTTTTTATTAATGTATAAAGCCATTTTAGGTAAGCTTCCACTGTACATATGTGCCAGATTTGCTCCAGTTTGTGACTCTTACAACCTCAGATCCAGTGCCTGGATACGGTTCCAGGTACCTGCCGTGCGGACTGAGGCTGGAAAAGGGAGTCTTTTTCATTATGGTCCTTGGTCTTGGAATGACCTTCAATCACGCCTTAAACTGACAGCACTTGTCCCTATAGCCTGTTTTAAATTGAAGTTGTCTGAGGTCCTTACCACCAGCTGCTCTTGCAGTAATAAGTAGTACCTTTCTTACTGTCCCAAATGTGCACAATGTAGTGACTGCTTTTCGTTTAGTTTTTTTTGTTTACTTAGTTGTGTTCTCTGTATTTTATATGTCTGTGTTATGTGTAAAAATGTGTAACGTTGCTGCCTTCTTGGCCAGGTCAGCATTGTAAATGAGATTTTATCTCAATGCTTTTTATCTGGTACAAAAAAGCATTGAGAGCATTTAACTCATTAAAGGTTAAATACAAATAATAATAAATTACAAACAACCTCTGACATTTTGTAGCCTGAAGTACGGCGGTTAGTTTGACAGGGCAAGGGGTTTGTTGGCCAAACTGAATGAAGTGTGTAAGCAACAATCAGCAGCCTTTGTCGTTATTTCGGGGTCACAGAACAGCTATCTTTCCAACACAGATAAACAAAATCTAATTTCAATATCCTCAACCTTGTACCATAATATTGACTTTTGTAACCTTAGTTATAATCCAATCACAAGCTGGGTAGTTTAGGCATTTCCTACCTCCCCGAGCATGGCCAAATCTCCCCTTCATACAGTATGTGGATTTTCACGTTCAGCAACTGTCCAAGTGCCAATATTGAAAGTTATTTTCTGTATGTTTTCTCCAGTCCCAAGGTTACCGCCAATCACCTCTGCATACAAGAGGAAATACGAGGATGACGAGGACGAGTATGACTCAGAAATGGAGGATTTTATTGACGAGGGAGAAGGAGATCAAGACATTTCCAGGCATATTAGGGAAATCTTTGGATATGATAAAAACAAGTAAGTGTTGACTTAATATACACAGTTTACAAGTACTTTCCATGTATAGTAAGTTCTTTATGACATCACTTTTTGCTTTTTACCTCATCAGATACAAGGCGGACGAGAGTGACTATGCACTTAAATTCATGGAAAGCAGCTGGAAAGATATGCAGAAAGAGGAGGCCAGGACGTAAGACGAAAATAAAACTTCCAGTCCTCAAATATACAGATGTAGTATTTACCATCTTTTATATAATGTGATTTTTCTTCTGTGTCCCTCTGCTACTTTAGCCTGCGAATGGCCGTGAGGGAAGATCAGGAGGAGGAGGAAAGAGAACTACAAGAGCTGAAAAGGCAAACTGCCAAGAGGAAAAAAAACTGAAGCCCCTATTTTCGTTGAGATGAATAAAAAACTAAAAAGCTGTGTCCCGTGAGAGGTCTGCCATGAGGCCCAGTGACTGTGCCCACCTCGGCCTCTGTGGGACAAAAACTGTGGAACGACACTTGGCATTGGCCCAGAGAAAAAGAGAAGACTGTTAGTCAAAGACAAAATATGCACAAATCATTCAGGCATTACCCTGTGACAAAGATCTCGTATTTTCCCTGTTTCATTATTTATTGCCCCCACTGAGTGACGGGTTTACATGGTCAACAGTCTCACATTTCTTAAAAGGAACTGAGAACTATAAATATGGAAAAGTGTGATATTTTGTAGACAAACAATAACATACAGGTGTTGATAAAATGCTATTTTCAGCAGAAATTGTTGCATATTTTTCTAAAACAAATGATTGTAAAGTAATTACAATATGCAGAAAAACACTTTACCACTTGATGTGTTGTGTGTTTCTCTTTTAAAGGGAGTTTAGAGAAATGATTGCTTAAAGGGTTTTATTTAAATGTCTAGCTTTATGTTAATGTTTTCTCGACAATCCTAGTAATATATACAGAACTTGGGTACCACTACAAGTGTCATTTGTAAAATGGTATGAATTTAGGTTAAAGCAATGAAATATTCTTTTGCCATTTATTGTGTGGAAATTTGTTTTTTGAATATATGAAATTTGTTAAAGGAAATGTCTTTTTCTTTTTAGTTTAAAGATTATTATATTCTTTCTGGAGGTTTCAATGGAAATGGTTCAATCCTTTTTCAAAGGCTAAGACATTAGAGTAGAGAATGCAGCTCTAGGAGAAAAGGTGTACTTTAGGAACTGATTTAGAATAATATTTACAATTTCAGTTTGAATAAAGAAACCGCTTAAAGAATAGTGACATTAATCAGATATTCAAGAGTGCTATGATTTTCATTTAGATTCATGTATAATACATTTAAGGTATAACAACTAATAAGTAGTTTTAAAAAAGTGAGGGTTCAGATCTTTTCAAAATGTGTGTAATATTCCATAACCAACGAATAGTTGCCTTGAAAAATAGCAAATAGGGTATATTTTATTCAAAATGTTGAAATATGCAAGTGCCTTTCCTTCCCTTTTTAATCGCCGTTCATGACGCACAGAGTGGGCGGGGCCTGTCGTCTCGCTTGGATACTGCTCAAAGTTTGCGGAAGTTTAGTTTTTACAGCTAACGTGCAAAGTGGAAGTTCCCCGTCAGGAGGCTAAAATCAAAAACACGTGATTGTTTTTGTTGTACTTCAATAGATGGACCTCCGTTCTGAGAAAATACAGCGGATCCTCTCCAAGGTTAGTTGTTTACCAGTGAACCAGCTTTGAAAAGTGTTTTGTAAGTAGAATGTTTACCTACCAGTGCCGGTTAGCATAGCAGGCCAGTCCATCAAAACTGCTGTCAGCCTTCTCCAACTGGCTGAACCAGCTCTGTAATTTAGCAAAGCCTGAAGAGACGATACCGGAATATGGCACAATGTGAGACGAATACGAACTTCTAGTTAACATTTTTCATAACAAATCCAGTGTTGAGCAGTCATGATGAATATAAAACCACAGCCCTTACACGCAGTGCTTCATAAAGTCAGAGGAAGTTACAGAATTGTCAAAGGATGTCCATTGAAGGCTAATTCTTACCCAGTGTCTTCCTATCTCTTTATAAACTGCTATTATAAATGAGGTAAAAAACGAAACACTTGAATGTGTTTATAACAAGCAACATACAAATGAATGATCCATTAGCCCTTGAAGTGTGTTTTTAACATTATTGAGAGTACATTGATTGACATTTCTTCATTCTGATGTTAAAATAAAATTTGAAAAACAGCATAATGACAACGATAACAAAAATAAATAGGCTTACTGTAGGTTATTCCTCCTCCCCTGTTCATAATTACAAACATGTTACCATCCCATCAGTTATAAGGTTATTTAATTAATATACACACATTCATTCATTCACTCACTATACATGCAAGCCTTCATCAAAACACAACAAATAAGTCTCTTTTTTTGACTCCCGTATTTTAGTACAAATTCCACGATGTTGCTGTTGAGGAGCTGCAGAAGATTTATCGAATCTACCCTGAGATGATGCCATCCACAGGGACATACAGTATGTTTTTTACCACTATATTCATCTATTTGTAGCCCTCTACAACACACATCAAATATGTTGGTTGCTGATACTGTGTGTGTGCCCCTTTTGTCAATTCCAGCATTCAGTGACAACACCCAAAAAGATCTCCTGAAATTAATTGGCAACGTCCCTGTGAATTATGGCGGTAAGGCTGACCTATAAGAGCCAAAAGACTCAGTTAGGGAAAACTGTGACGTATCATGAAGTCATTATTTTGTACTGATGTCAGTGTCTCTATTTTAAGGCCGCCCCTACAACATTCCCATTCAGCTGTGGTTGATGGACTCCTTCCCCTTCACCCCTCCCATATGCCTCCTGAGACCCACCTCCAACATGGTCATCAGAGAGGGCAAACATGTCGACAAGGAGGGGCGGCTCCACCTGCCCGGCCTGCACAACTGGGATTATGTAAGATTTAATACTTTCTTGGTGAAGTTTGAAATTGCATTCAAGATTCAAAGGTTTTATTGTCATATGCACATAAGCTACAGTGTAGAAATGGCAATGAAATTCTTCTGACCCGAGCTCCTCCAACAATGCAACATATATAATAAAATACAAAAATACAAAATAGTGCAAGAAGTCTATATACATGTAAATAGATTATGGTATGTACAAGAATGGAATATGAAATTAAATAATGTACATTATGAAGAAATTAAATACGGTTTATTGTGGTGATAACTATTTATATAAATAAGTAGATTGCAAGATGACAAACAGATGAATGTTTATCGAGGCACTTAACAGAGCTCAGGTGTTTAGCAGTCTTATGGCCTGTGGGATAAAACTGACTTTGTTTTATTTCTCTGTAACAGCCCAAGTCCACCGTGGTAGGTCTTCTGACTGAGATGATTTCCAAGTTTGAGGAGGACCCTCCCCTATCCTCAAAGACGACAGTAGACAATAAAGACCCCCATGAGCTCCTGGCATTTGTTTCTAATCTCCAGATCAATGATGGTACTTCATTTGACATGCAGCATATCAAACAAACCAGATGATTGTGAACTTTTAGCCTAACTTGTGTCTATTTCAGGTGAGAGAACACATGATCAACAGAATATCAAAGTGTCTGTTATCGGGGGAGGAGATTTAGGAATGTCATCGGTGATGAGCATTTTATCAAAGGTCAGAATGGTTACCATGTTGGATTGCAAAGTCACAATCTCAAATGTAAATGCTGACACATTTGTTCTTATTCTAATTTTCACCCAGTGTAAAGTGGACAAACTTGTTTTCATTGACGTCGCTGAGAGCTCCACAAAGGGCGGCAGCACAGATCTAGAGATTTTCAGTCTGCCGAAGGTGGAGGTATCCAAAGGTACGTCACTTTCTGCACTGTCACACTCTAATGGAGTCATCACTGATGTCAGGTTGTTTCAAAGGTGACGTTTGCTTAGGAAAGCTATCCCTGATGACTTGCCTCTGACACAGTCGCTGAACCCCAACCTCCATTACCTTAGACCTTTCAGAGCGATAACAGAAAACAATGTATCCATTTGTGATTACTTGAGAGACTTTGCCTTTCAGTTTTGGCTATTTATCTTGAGATTTGCTGATAGATGTGTGCATGGGTTGACTAATGATAACATTTCAAAATGTTCTTTGGCAGTAATGCTACACACAGCTGCAATTAACTAAAACAATACGTAGCAAACAAGGCAGTACAGAGGTGCACCAAAGACAGTAACACATATATGTTTAATATTGCACATGCCTTGCAAGATTCAACATATAAATGCATAGTAATTACAAATGAAGAGAGCAATCATAGAAAAAACATATTGCAATATTTCCTCCTTGGCTACATCAGTAGTGATAAAGACATTGGGGGAAAGGATGCTTGAAGCTGTCATTTTAGCATTTGTTAGCTTTGTAAGTTATACTAAAATGGAATAATTAGTATTCAGAATAATATAGAAGGTGTGATGATTGTAACTGGACTGTGGGAACCATACACCATCATCTCAGATCCCACAGTTTAAAAGAAAGGAAAGTTGAGTCTCTTAGCCGACCTATCACACACTGATGACGCTCCTTTTTCAGATTTGTCAGCCTCTGCGGGCTCCAGGGTCGTCGTGGTGACCGCGAACTCATGGAGCAGCGAGCAGTCGTACGCGAGCGTGGTCCAGAATAATGTGGACATGTACAGAGGGATCATTCCAACTGTAGCACAGCTCAGCCCCAACGCAGTAATGCTTATCGCCTCACAGCCAGGTGAGTGTCAGAGAAAAAGTCCCTCCTAAAGGAGTAACTCTTTTCATCAACCCGTTTTTTATATTTTCACCTCTGTTTTCTTTTTCGTCCAATTCCAGTGGACATCATGTCCCATGTTGCCTGGAGACAGAGTTGCCTGCCTCCGACACATGTGATCGGAGCGGGGTGTAACCTGGACTCAGAGCGTCTCAGTCACATCCTGGACATTAACCTGAACACCCACAAACCAGCCTGGGTCATAGGAGAACTTTCAGACAACAAAGGTGAGCCAGAAAGGAGACATTTCTCACATTCTTGATATTTGTTTTATGTCCTATATATATTCATGTTGCACTGTTGCAGGAGCCTCTGACTTAATTTGTCATTGCCATGTCTACACTGTAGCTAATTTGCACATGATAATAAAGCCTTGAACTTTAAACTTGAATGTGTGTTAGGGCCCTTTTAATAATCGGAGCACATGAACAATCTTGTCAATGTTTGCCTTGCAGTTGCCGTGATGAGTAAAACTGGGCATAGCTCCAATGTGCAGCCGGAGATCGCAGCAGGATCCAGCTCAACCAAACCACTGTTAGACAGGTACTGGCATGAATTAACATGACCTTGAGTAAAGTAGTTACAATCTATAGATGACTCAATGTAGTTGGAATTTGTTGACACAGTTAAAGGAGGTTCTATGGATGTAGAGAATAAGAAGGGATTCAAAGTGGTTGCGATTCTCCTGGATTTTTTTTTTTAAAAGTACAATTTCTTCCTGGCTTTTAGAGCGTTTGAGATGATGAATCGCGGTCAGCGCTCATGGTCTGTCGGTCTGTCCATCGCTGACATCACTAACAGTATCCTGACAAATAAAATGAAGACACACTCTGTCTCCACGCTGGCTCAGGTAAAACACTGTGCATTCCCTATCAAAGCAAAAGCATCATTCTTATTTCATGTGTTGTTCTCTGTTTTACTACGTTTAGTTGGTAGTCAAACTTGACACAGTATCAGCATTACATTAAATGTGCCTTTGATGTGTTGAGTGAAATCTGATTGTTTGCTTTTAGGGCTGGGGTGGAATAGGTGCAGAGGTGTTTCTCAGCTTGCCGTGCATCATGGGAACAAACGGTTCCATGCGCCTGGCCGGGGTGTCTCTGGGACAGGAGGAAGACTCCAAACTGAGGGAAAGTGTCACCTCGCTTTCTAACCTCATCAGCCAGCTGAGGATATGAAGGATGTGATCCTAGTCCCAGTTTGGGAGACGGCTAACCAGTTAGCTAACTATTACTAGGATTTTGAAGTTAATGACAAAACTGCTAAAATATGTATGTCATAATGTCTGTGTATTTAAGGTGGGTTAATATCAATGTACAGATTTTGTATTTAAATTCACTCCAGAGGTTACTCATTGTGTCTCAAAGTTTGCAATAACACTCCAAATGAATGCACTGTTATATTTTTGGAAAGCCATGAAATTCTATGTAAAAACATTAAAAGTAGAGTGATGTTTTTAACAACTATATTTTTGTTGAATTTGGCGGCTTGTTTACCAAAGATTTGGAGATTATGCTTATTTTTGTTGTCACCCATTAATTAAATAATTACTTTGAAAATCAGGGTGTCGTCAGATAAAATGCATGTTTATTACACTGCAGCTCATATTTTAATATACTTATTAGCGGTCTTTTTGCTCTTTCTGTATTTAATGCAATAAGCTCAAGTGATGTTATATTTAAATCTTTGTTCTGTTGTTTCCTTTGTGTGAAACACTTTGCATCTAAAACATGTACAGGAAGACTACACCATTGTGTGGGTGTGCAATAAATGTCTTAAACCAGATGTGTATTTTCTGTAGAGGAAGAGAAGACAGACAACTAAGGTTTATCTCTTTATAAAACTCAAATAAGAAGTTGCATAAATGTGCATAAGCTTTGGTCTGAGCCCTTACCATCACTGATGTTAACCAGGTCTATAAAAGGAGCAGTGATGATGCAAATGATGGTCAGGTCACATGACTAAAGAAGCCTGAGAAACGTAGAAGCGAGACCAAAGCTAATGAACAAACCATAAAACATCCGGTAACATCACAAGATGGAAATGATGTTTTAGCAGTAACCTGGAACTCCATTAGAAATCAACGTAATACTTAGAGGATTACGAAACCTCTTGGTAAAGACAAAGGTCAGTGCAAAAAACAACAGATGTTTAGACATAGAATATAATGTAATATATAACTGCATGAAACTATATAAACATTTGGAATATTAGGTCCTTGTAAAGTATGATATGGCTCAACTTCCATTCCTCAATCACTTTTTTTTCTCAGAAAACAAATTGACACCAGTTTCTACAAATATGGCTCTAAAATATGGCTATGCATTATGAAGGAAATCAGCTTTGATTCGTTTGTTACTTTCCCTGGTCCTTGACAGAATAGAACAGTAACATGGGCTCTGTCCTTTTATTCTTAAGTCTAGCTTACTATGTGCACATTCATAAATAAGCATTATAGGTAGCATTTTATGTCAGAATTATTTTTCATAAAAGCCTCCTGTCACTAGCAAGGACTTCATTTTAAAGCTTGAAGTCAGTTACTGTAACACTTCCAACCACTAGATGGAGCTACTCTTAATACATATTGTGATATGGATTTTTACTGTGGCTGTTTGTGCTGATAATATGTCGCATTCATAATATCCTCCCGTTAAGTCTGATATTTCCCTTTTCTTTAGCTTTGATGCATGTGTGTACATTCACATGAAAGAGTACATTGTTGCTGTGAAATCAGACAAACAGAAATAGCACTGAAACCACTTCTTTAAATTGGTCATCCTACTGGGTCGATTTTAGAATTGAAAAAAGCAGCGAAGAACCCACTGCATCCTGTATGGGTAAACAAATGTTTCATGAGAATTGAACTACCTTCTGTATTTACACCAGTGACATATTGCACCTCGTATTTCCTGTTGCTGGTGGTTACAACTTTATCTGAAGCTTAACTTAGATGCAAGAAGTCCTTTATTATCAAGTATTGATCTTAAGCTATACAGACACTGGTATATTAATAATTGTTCATTTCAGTTGTGAGCCTGCTCACAGTTGACCAACAAACACAGTATAAATGTATAGGCTTTGGGTGCTTCAGCAAAGATAAGCTTACTCTGCAGCCTCAAAAGCCCTTGTGTTGATCTGCAGTCAGGTTAAGACACTTCTGTTGGAACAAAATGAAACTAACTGCAGATGAAGCACCGGTTGTATTTCAAAGCTGGTATTACAGTATATTATATCTGTGCGTGTACATTTCTTATAATCACCCATCATATTAAAGACTGAATCTGGTCTCACACACTAACAAGCAGGCGAGATAATACACTCACTTTTTGTGCAGCAAACAGTAACACGGACAGCAGTTTTAAATAGAAGTTTGAAACTTAGAAAAAGTTACCTGCCCTTACAAAAAAAGGTGACGGTATTACATAAATCTGTACAAATCGATGAAAAAAGTCCTTTCAAACAAACACACACAAATCTTTGACACACTGAATAGCTACTGGCCTTTTAACCGCTTTGAAAACGAATCAAGCATTGACAGGAAGTCTGAATCATATCGGCATAAACAGAAACACTTGAACGAGACTTCAAAAGGTCACTGATTTGGGCAGTGGCTGTCCACCTGGAGGCATCCTGCAAAAGTCTGGGCTGGATCGGACCAGGGCCCCCCCCACGGAGGACTGTCCTGAGGGCCTGGAGTGGCCTGGTGGGGACCCCGTGTACAACAGTGGTGCTGGGAAAGCAGAATGGTCCCTGGGGCCCCGAGAGAAAGGCTTAGAGTAACTGGGTGAGGCGGCTCTGGGTGAGGCTTTGGGTGAGGCTCTGGGTGAGGCGACTCTCTGTGTGTCCGAGCAGCTGGCAGCGCCACACTGGAAGGGAGTGAGCCGGTCAGCAAAACTGGCGGGAGGAGGGGGGATGATGGAGTCCTCCACCCAGCTGTCCTCCCCCTCGTACTCTGGCTCCTGAGGCAGACTGGGGAGGGCGCACAGCGGGGGAGGACCGAGAGAAGGTGAGGGAGGGATGAACGCAGGAGGTGGAGTGTAGAGAGTGGGGTCATAGTCTCTGTCTGTGGTGTGGGGGGGGATGCCGTGAGTTTCCTCAGGCGTGGAGCCCAGCAGCCTCTCCAGGCAGCGCTCGTCCTCCTCGGCCTCCGATAGGTTGTCGTACTGCGAGGTGTTGGAGGGCCGTCTGTCGCCCGCTGGCACCGGGACGTAGAGAGAGACGGGGAACTTGGTCGGCTTTGGGGGAGGTCTGGGGGAGGAAGTGGAGGATGTGGTGAGGGCACGGGGAGGGGTAGGCTTCGAGGGAGGGGGTTTTCTCTGTGTGAGGTCAAGAGACGTGGGTGGCTTCAGACATGGTTTTGGCTTTGTTTGGGTGACCAGTGGTGGGGCTGAGCAGGGGGAAGGAGGGTGCCGCGGGGTCTCTGGGACAGCCGGGCAGGGAGATGCGCCGTCAACCGGCTCGGTGTAGAAGAAAGGTGGAGGTGGCAGATCTGGGAGGTCCATGATCTCTGCATCAGTCTGCACAGCTTCAAAGGCAGGGGGCTCATAGGGCGGGGGCCAATCGACGGGCTCCTCCTGGGTCTGGGGGTCTCCAGGCTGGCTCTGAAGAACATTTTCAGTGTGTCTTACCTCAGGAAGCGTCCCCTTCCCCTCTCGGTCCGGCCCGGCCTCAGCACAGGGTTTCTCTGCTTTTGGAGGTAGCGGAGGTTTCCTGCAAGGCCTTATGGGAGAAGGTGTTCGTTGTGTGTGGACTACAACGGGGTCAGGGGAAGCCAGAGGAGGGGTTCTCATGTCTGCAGGAGACGGGGTCTGCTGGCGGGTGATGCTGTCCATCTGAGGGCCCTCTGTGGTGGGGAGAATGTGAGGCTGCAGGTTTACTTTGACCTCCAGAGGAGAGTCAGGCTGCTTAGGCTGGAGGGCGACCTGTCTCTCCTGACCCAGAGGTTTCTTTGGCACCTCCTCTGATTTGGCTAAAATAAGAAAATAATGAAATGCATCAACAAAGGTGAAAATAAATATACCGTAGATATTTTAGACAGCATTAGATGGAGAGAGAATAAGAATAAAAACTGCACCTGGAGGAGGTTGGTCCAGCTTTTTACTGCGAAGTTCAGACATAGAAACCTGAAGCTGTTCAACCACAGCATCATCATGCAGGAGGAATGAAACCTCCAGCTGCTCCTGGATGAACTCCCTCAGGTCCTCCATCGGAAGCTTCTGCAGGCGCTCTGATTGGTCACACGCACACACAATACAGTCAGAAAAAAAGGTGACCCTATTCTTTTTGTCGCTGCCTTTTATAAAACCAAAGAACTATTCATATCTTACACTGTCGCTTGTTATTCTTGTATTCTAGTTCAGCTTGTATTATTTTGTCTTCTCATGTTAATGACTTCTTAAACCTATCTTTCTATACATGTTGTTATGTTTTTCTTTTGCACTATTTGCTATGTCTAAATGCTTTTAATGTTTTCTTGTAAAGCACTTTAAATTGCCTGGTTATTGAAATTCGCTTTATAAATCGACTTGCTAATAAATGAGGTCACTAGTGAGCCTATGTGATACAAACCATGAGAATAAATGATGTTAAAAACACCGCTTCAACCCAGTCTTAACTTTAAGACACCAAGTCAAGAAGTGCCCCATTAAAAGAGCTGCTTTGCAGGAATACAACTGTGCTGAGGCTAAGCTTGTGCAGGCGTCCAATGAAAAGTCAGCTTTCCGTTCTTCTCCACAGCAACCGGCCACTTGCATTATGTAAGCCATCCAGTTAGGAGGCAGCCAAGCGCGAGGCAGCCAAGCGCGAGGCAGCGTGCGGCGCTACGCTCACTGGTATAGCAACAGCAGCTGTATCTGGGCATAAAACTGGTTTGATGCGTTCAACGCTGCACGGGAGATATTGTTATTTTCTTCTTACTCACTCTTGTGTAACTTGAGGGTTGTGTAAGCCATGGCACTCAGTGTCTTCTCTCCCTCCAGTATGTAGATGTCCCATACACGCAGGGTGAGGGTGAACGGGGTCTGTTATGTAAGACACGCAGCAGCAGATTAAAAAAATAATGCATTAAAGAAAAACACAGATGGGATGCACAATGAAATTCTGATGAATGATTAAAATGCAGAATATGTCTGGTACAAACAGGGAAGAGCATTTAAGGAGTATTTGAGTCACTCACTCTGTCAATGAAGCACTGCAGAAACCATTTGGTGGTGTAAATCCCTGATGTCATCTGCTCCTTGTCCTGTTTGGGAGAATGAATGAGGAATATGGGAGCTCACGCCTCATAAACTGTTCTGAGTGATAAATCTAACTCTTGCACTTGCACTAACATTCTGAACATGTGGCCTTTTGCAACGTAAATTCATCAAATAATGAGAAATTAAGCATACTAATCGACCGCAGACCTTCTGAGCAATACATCAGCTCCTTGTTTCTCCTGCATGGTCAGACGTATTTGAACTTACCAGGTGTTTCTTCAGCTTCGGGAGCATTTTGGAGAGGATCAGCTCATGGTGGGCCTGGAAACGGTGCAGCTTAGGAAATCCCGGGATAAAAAACCCTAGCAAGGTGAGAAAAACACAAATCAGCAGGCCATACTGGTGCATGGTAATAGTAGATTCATGATATTTACTATGTTCCCCTCTTTCAAAGATTGTTTCAAGGGCACTGAGAAAGCGTGACAAAATGATTTAGGTCCTTTGATTATTTGGAACATTTGGTTAATTTTCTTTGACTTACATTAAGCTTTGGTTTAAGGAAATTTGGTAAACTATTGCTAGGAGG